TATAGGACATTTTAAAATTGTGGAGAAGACATTCTAAATATTTATGAGTCAATTGTCTTGCCTCTAGAATTTTTAGCAGCTTTGGTTGCATTTTTGAATCATTTCTCTCCTCTCACCTCTGTGTTTAGCTCATCTTTGATATTGACTTATCAGATTAAAATAATAAGGATAATATGCAGGAAAAAAATCCACACTTCCTACACCATTTGAAACTGGAGGAATTCTCCAGAATGGTCCCCTGAGATACTCTTTAAATCTTGACTCGAAATTATCCTTTGATGTCACCTTTTAGCTAAATATCAAGTGAGCCCATAAAGTAAGGAATATAACCCTGAGGCATTGCCCTCCTTTAAAAAAATCCTGTGTATGAGATCAAATGGCCAACAATTACCCTAAAGCGTATCTGAGAAGGTTGGATGGAGGAGATTGAGACTGGATTACTAAGAGCAGAGCAATTGGAATAAAAATGAAAATACTGATAAAATGTGAAGAATGCAGGCAATTATATTTAGCAAAACATGTGGAAATTGTTGAGTGGAACTTGTTTTACTTTATACTTTCACCAAAAAGATAGTAAAATATTTTTTTAAAAAAATCAGGACATTTTTTAAATCTAATTTTTAACTTTTCTGCAATTATTGACAAAAGGGAATCCATAAAGAGAGATTATTTTTTAAAAAAGATATTAGATATTTTTAAAGATATCTGTAATAAACTGACTAAAACTATTATAGAGACTGCAAAGTAACGCGGACAGGTACCTTCATTACTGCCTATCCTAGATAGTTTGGAACTATACTAGAATAGTTACTACTAATGCTTAAAATTCTTCAGGAGGCTTGGGGACTGGAGTCTTCTTACACTCTGGAAGTGAGCCGGTTAATCTAGGTGAATGGCTGTCGTCTCCATGGCGGCTCCTCTTGGTGGCAGTCAGGCAAGGAAAGTTTCTGGGCTCTTTTTTCATTGTGTTTTACTGTTCTTTTCGGCCTTCAAAGGTAGTGTAACCCTGGTATGTCCACTTGCTGTACAGAGGTAACTCGTGGTCTGTGTGAAGCCAAACACTGTGACACTGATGAGTCAAATGTAAGAAAGGTTACCCATGGTGGACAGTGTTTGGTGGAGCTCCCTGGTTAAAACAAGCTTAGAAGCAGGAGTGGCATCCACTTCTGTAAATAGCTTGCCTCTGGAAACCCTATGAACCTTGGAGAAAGGACAAGAGTTATACAGGAGGTGTCCAGGACTTTCATTGATAGGGTCACTATGAGTCGCCTCTGACTCGATGGCACTTAACAACAAAAACAACAACAATGCACTAAACTTTCAGGCAGGGTCAATCAGTGAACCTTAGGAGGGTGGACTTGGAAAATGAAAGGTTTCCTAATTAGAAAAACAGAGAGGACGGAGAAAAATGTAGATTCTGATTTTATGAAGATTGCACCATAGTTGAAACAAACCTCCATAGAAAAGAATCAATAGAGAATCTTTCTCAATAAATCTTGATTAGTATAGAAATAAAAGTTCCTAATCCACCCAATCTCTTGCCCCCTGGGGTATGAATTGCTTTTTATATGGTCTTTCTGCCAAGGCTTTATAAGTGCCATGAAATAATTGGTTGGGATTGTGCAGTGAGGTGCATAAAATTCTTTCAGGTCTGTATAAATGTGACTGCGTGCTTCTAAGGGGTGATCAATTTTGCCATCTTACTATATAGCTAAAGGACCCAATCCAGCAGAGGCACAGAAACTGGAACCAGTCAGGTGAGAATGACATCCTCATCAAGAACAGTATGGAACAGAGCTTGTCTTTTAAAACAAGGACCTGGGTTTCCTGTGCTGAGAATCTCATAAAAACAGAAGAAAGTTTAAATACTCAAGATAGCAAGCAAAAATAGTAGTAAACATGCTTGGCCCATTGAAGGAGAGAGCTAAGAACAGAAATTCACTCAAGATGTTAAAAAGAGCAAAAGCATTTGTCTATGCAAGGAAGAAACTTGATTATACCTCTGGACAGGAAGTATGCCAGTAGAGCTAAAAGAGCTTGTGCAGATCAAAAGGGACCTGAGTGTACCCAGTATAAGTGCTGCACACCTCTACTCCACCAGCTAGCATGGTAGGAGTCAGCTGCAAGGCTAGGAATTTCCCAGTAGTAGAGGCCTTGAGAGGTTTTCCAGCCAAAGGAGAAGTGTAAAACCAGAGTAGGAGCCCTGGGAGCTGTGTGGGCCCCTCCAAGAAGCTTGGTGACAGCCAGACACAGTGGTGACTTGAACACAACATCTAACCTTAACCATGATGTACCTGTGCTGAGACACAAGAAAGAATACCAGTAACTTAGGGAAGGCTATGATTCTTCTCTGAAAATGGATCATTAAGGTTTAATGTTTGCTTTCTATAAATAATAATAGTAATAATAATAACAATGGTATTTACATTGCCAGCACTGAAAGTATGTCCAATTTAACACAAATGAGCACAGCACCCACAGAAGAGTTGATGTCAGTGGGTGTGTCATTCATAGAAGTCAAATTGTTGCCTGGAAGTTCTGAGGCACAGCTTATCCTGTGATCAACACAAATATACATTTTCATACACCCTCTTTGGTGATTTTTATAGTATAGAGTTGATACAGTTGTGTTGTTAGCTCCTACAGATTTGACTCTGACCTCTGATGACTTCAAGTACAACAGAATAAAACATTTCTTCATCCTCCACCATCTTTACTATTATGTGTCTATTCACTCATTGACACCGCTGTGTATTTCTAGGGACTCCAACCTTATAAGAATCATTGCCTAGCCCTCTACTGGATGGTGTTCTTATAATCCATAGAGTTTTCACTGGTTTCAGAATCCAATCACAAGGCCTTTCTTCTTAATTTGTTTTATAGTGGAAGCTCCAATGAAGCCTCTTCACTGTATGACCCTGTGAGATTTTGAAAAGCTAGCGGTAGAGCTTCCAGCATCACAGAAACATATAAGCATGGTGAAATGATTGAAAAGTAGTAAGTGCTGTTGTTGTCATTAGATGTATGAGTACAACTCATACTGTCTCTATGAACAGCCAACCTGAAACCTTCCCTATTCTGTGTCATCCTCATAATTTCTGAGCCATTAAAGCCCATTGCTGAACTCATTGGTGGTCATCCTCTTCTTGTTGACCTTCCATCTTCCCAAACATGATGTCCCTTTCCAAGGAATAGCCTCACCTAGATACATATCCAAAGTATAAAAGATGAAGCTTCAGCATCCTTGCCTCCAAGGAACACATGCCAGGACGTAGCTGTTCATTCTTGTGGCAGTTTGTGGAATATTCAGTACTCTTCTCCAGTACCACAACTCAAAGACATCAATTATTTTTCTGCCATTCTTATTCTTTGTCTAGATTTCTGATGTGTAGCAGGTGATTGAGAAGACCATGACCTGAATCAGGTGTACCTTATTGTTCTTCAGTATTTTAGAGAAGTGCCCACTTCAATGAATCTCATGATTTCCTGACTGCTGGTACCATGGGTGTTGATTGTTAGTTCAAGCAAAATGAAATAATTGACAGCTTCAATCTTTTCTAAACCTATCAAAATTGTTGGGCTTGAGGTGAGGAGCTTTGTCTTCTTGCTGTGGATATATAATCCATCCCAAAATCTGTAGTCCTTGATCTTCTGCAGCAAGATTCTCATCCCCTTTTCACTTTCAGCAAGCAAAGTTGTGTTATCAACATAATGCAGACTGTTGATGCCATTCATACTCCTCTTCATAGAATCTGGTTTCATGAATCGTTTGTTAAGCAACCAGACTGAGTTGGTGTGAATAAAGGATACAACTCTGATGCACACCTTTCCTGTTCTTAAACCACAGTGTTCCTTTGCTCTTTTTACACAACCACTTCTTGGTCTAGGTCTGAATGCAATTAAGTGTTCTGGGATAGGGTGGTATTAATCAATTCAGGATTATTCAAGTACATAGTTCTAAAAATTTGACACCCTGATTTCCAGCCTGCAAAACTGGTTGAATCATCTAATTTACATGTACTTAGTCCTCAGATCCTGTTGTAACTGCTCTGCAGTATGCAAGCTACCTTAAACTGTTTACTGAGAAAGATAGTGCATCTTTCCTGAACTAGTATTTATCTTTTCTAACTGCATTTTTCTCAGCCATATATAAATTGTGCCTCAACTTGTCTGTTTACTATTGACTGTATGTAAACTATTCTTTTGGATGTAACTGTGAATTAGCAATAATAATAGGTTAATAGGGCACACTGCTAGCATAGTGGCAAGAAGTTTTGTGCTGCAATCCCAATGTCATGCAGTTTGAATCTACCAGTTGCTCCATGGGAGAAGGATGTGCAATCTCTTCCTGTGTAAATAACTGCCTCTAAAAACACACTGGAGGGTCAGCTATGAGTTGGATCTAACCCAAAGGTACACAACAACAACAGCATGTTAATTAACACCTAACCTACATATTTAAAACCAATAACCATCCTTAGACTTAGATAGGGAGGTAGTATTTGAGAGGATTCTCTCTGCTGTCCCAGATCTGCAATAAAGTGCTTTGGATACTGCAATCCTTCCGATTTGTTGGAGAGTGACTATGGAAAGGACTCCTTGTGTTCACTAACATCAGTGACACAATGTTGCTAAGAACTAATTATGGAAAAACTAAAACAAATCTTGAATATTAATTTCTTTGTCAATTATTAAAGACGTAAAATAAATTGGTTATATTTTCTTTAGATGTGTCAGCACAGGGAGAAGACTTAACACTTTCAATAGTTTCTGAGTTTTACTCCTGACTCTGCCACTACCTGCTAGGGGACCTTATATTACATTTATTATCCCCAGCCTCACCAATAAAAAGAAACTATTGAAGTGTCTCATCCCTAATTTTCCTCTATGCTCTGAAAAATTTGGACTGCTTTATATACCTTTCCAAATATTAGACAATCTAGCTAATTTTTAAATTATTCTGTAAGATGTTAAATAATAGCTCTTAATATGATACTTACATTTTGGCCCACTTATCTAGTTCTTCTTCCAGATATGTTTTAACCATTTTTGGTTGGAGGCCAAGAGAATTTCCCAAGAAATAGATGGCATTTTCATCCTTATTCACTAAAGATAAATCAACTGAAAGAGAAGAAAAAGTAAAAATTGATTGGTCAGTTAGTTAACATTCTTCTATTTGGCATTGTTAATTCAGTGCAAGCAATTCATGTAACTAAGTAGCTTGCAATAATAAATAACCAAAGGCAATAGAAAAGAAACAAAAACATAATTTTTATGGAAAATGCATCATTTTATCTAATTGCATTAAATGTACAATTAGATAAGTGCTAAACCTCTACATTAATCAATATTATAATAGATGTGAAACTCTGGTGGTCTACTGTTAAGAAGCTGTACTGCAATCCCAAAGGTATACAGTTCAAATCCATAGCCACGCCATGCAAGTAGGATGTACCAGCTCCTGCAGTGTGACTTTCTGCCTCTGAAAACCCACTGGAAGAGTTTCCCATCTATCTCCCATGGAACAGGTGGTAGATTTGAACAGGTGATAGACTTTGGGTGAGCAGTGCAATTGCCTACCACTAAGCCAGCAGAGTTCCCCCTTTTATAGATTCTGTGACATTTTTCACTGATATCTTTTAAGCCTACTCACGAAAAGAGAAAAAATAGATATTATTCAGACATTTAAATTGGGTTCATAACTATTCTTTGTTGACTTATAGAATAAAGGGATGTCTAATGGAAGATCATTTATTTCTAATTTAGAAACGAATTTATGCACCCTGGCTCAAATTTCAACCAAACATTCAAATAATTACAAATTGAAGCCTAAAATACTCTGAATGTGTTAACTCTATCAGTAACCTACAATGACGAAGCACCCACCCGGATAGTGAGTCATATGTTGTTGTTGTTGTTTTGTTCCCTGGAGCCGGAACCGACCCACGGCTTACCCTCTGATAGGTTTTCAGAGGGAAGTAATTACACAGGAAGAGATTTCCCATCCTTCTCCCATGGAGCAGCTGGTGGTCTTGAAACATGTACCTTTGGGATTGAAGTGCAGTTTCTTGCACTGCAAGTAAGTCGCATAGTCGTGCCTTATTTCTTAATAGTGGATTCTTTGATTGATGAATAGATGGTATGCAACTCTCGTATAGAAAGCTATTTTCAAAATGCCTTTCAACGTGAAAGAAAAGCAGCATTGTAAACCTAGTTATTTTGTCCCATACAGCCAGAAGAAGAGTTGCCCATTTCTTTTGACTGTATTTCTTTCCTTGGTTGAGTTGCTTATCTCTTTAATAAATCCCAAAGCTCATCACCTGATAGTATGTTAGTGTTCAGTCAGTATTCTATAATGTGCTAGCTCATTACTATTGGGACAGAACTGCCTTATAGCTAAAATTCCATTAAGCTTCTATCGCTGTAAATTGTAACCGGGAGAGATTGTCAAATTCTCTCCTGTGGAGATATTGGTGGATTCAAACTTCCAGAGAGGTGTGGGCTTTGGATTTATCACACAATTTCCTTTGGACTACTTCTCCAGAGATCCCTATTTGCATATAGCATCAGTAGGCTGAAATATCAAGAAGGTATATTTTTTAAAAGACAAAAGCAATCAAAAGACAACCTTTCTCTTACCCAGTGCCATGAAATCTCCACAATATGAAAGACAAACAGGGCTTTGTATCTTGAAGTCTACACTTCTTTTGTGCCAATAAAATGATAAACTATTTTCCATCAAATATCTCTACTCTTGGCAGCTTAAATCACTAACAAAGATGAGGGAAGAGTGTTCCAAACAAAGGCTGACAGAAAAACATGAGAATCAACCTGTGAATAAGCATCTTCTCTAAGAGTTCTACTGATCAGCCTGTCCTCAAACGTCATGGGAGCGTGGTGGGGGGGGGAACTCAGAGAAAAAATATTTTCATGGTATGGAACAAAGAGATAGTCTAAAAGCTTTGGCACTTGAAGAAGAAGGAAAATAAACTCCAAAATAAATGAGCTAATATTTTGTATTCTATGTGCTAAATGCTGAATTTGATTCCATTTTAAAAAACAGTCTTTTTTTTAAATACCATCAGGATTAAACAGCAAGTTATATCCATTAGAGTAATGTAGTCGTCATGCGAATAGTAATAGTTCTTCCCATTGTGACGTCTTCAATGAAAAGGGAAATTGCAGTAAATTTATGACTCATTTCTTCCCATTCTCAAGACAGTCATGCCAACTGTGTTGTGACATCAATAATTACTGATAATCACATGGAGCTTCCTTTTATTTGGAGTCCAGTTGTAGAGTTATCTTTAAAAAAATCCCTATCTTTCATATAATCCTTCATAAATTCTAGAACTTCTGCTTTCTATGCCGAACTGAAACTTACTGGAGATGTAGGTGTGAACATATTTCTCAGTCTTTCAATGTCAGCTTGTTGGCTGTAGAAAAGTTCAGCTTCTGTTGTACAAAATTCACTTTTGTTGGAAGTTATTTACATGAATAATTTAATTATAATGAATCAGAGGGTGGGTGGGAATCTCCTGTCCAGATATATTAATTGCGTCTTTTCTTTCAAAAGCAAGTGAGGATTCACATACATCATATACATTCATATATTCTTGTTCCTTTTAAAAAATGTTGTTATTTTGTGTGTGTGTGTACCATCAAATAGGATCTGACTGGTACAGGAGAAGATTGCCCCTCCTTCTCCAGCAGAGCATCTGGTGGATTTCAACTGAGTACCTCTAGGATTGCAGTGCAGCTTCTTGCCACTAGGCCAGCAGAGCTCCCCAAACTTTAGTATATCCAAGGATAGATGGTGGTCCAAAATATTTATTGTAGAAAATATATCTCCCTGATATTTTTCTTCTTTGAAGTTGCTTTTATGTGTTGTTTAGGTGAATTTGATTAAGATCTGACCCTCGAGAGGTTTTCAGCCTCTGAAAACAGATCATGAGGAGATTACCTTTTATTTCTCTACATAGCAGACAGTGGATTTGAGCTACTTGTCTTTGGGTTAGTAGCACAACTCCTTACCAGTAGGCTGCCAGAGTCAATATGGGCATGTTGTTGTTGTTGTTATATGCCGTTGAGTCACTTGCGACTCATAGCAACCCTATGTACAACAGCCCTAAACTCTGCTCTGTCCTGTGCCAATCGCACTGTCTCAGACACTCCCATCCCGATTATCCCAGTCACTGAATCAATCCACCTCATAGAGGGCCTTCCCCTCCTGTGCCATCCCTCCACCCTCCCAAGCATGATGTCCTTCTCCAAGGACTGGTCTCTCCTCACAACATGTCCAAAGTATGTTAGACGGAGCCTCAGAATCCTTGCCTCCAAGGAGCCACCCGGTTTAACCCTTTCCAGCACGAATCTGTTTGCTTTCCTAGCAGTCCATGGTATTCTCAATACTCTTCTCCAGCACCACAGCTCAAAGGCATCAGTTCTCCTTCTATCCTCCTTGGTCATTGTCCAACTCTCTGATGCATAACAAGTGATTGTAAAGACCATGGCCTGTATCAGATGCACCTTAGTCTCCAGAGAGACACCATCACTCTTCAGTACTTTAAAGAGGTCCCTAACAGCAGACTTTTCCATGGCAATGCGCCTTTTAATTTCCTGACTACTGGTGCCAAGAGTGTTGACTGTGGAGCCAAGCAAACTAAAGCTGTGTACAATCTCAACCTCTTCACCATCCATCCTGATGCTGCCATTTGGTCCAGTGGTGAGAATCTTTGTCTTCTTGACATTGAGCCTCAATCCATATTGTAGGCTGCAGTCCTTGACCCTCTGCAGCAGGTGCTTCAGGTCCTCTTCAGTTTCAGCATACAACTTTGTTATATGCTAACAGTTCTACAGGTTTTCTCTCTTACGTCAATAGCTTATTTCAAAAGGCTATGGGATTTCCTGAAATGTCTCTTTCCAAAGTAAGCCTCTGCTTGATTCACACATTACTTCTTTGTAATGGGTTCCAAAATCATTGGTCAGTCAAAATGATTCAAGCTGTGGCCAGGATGTAGGCATTATTTTCTAACATCTGGATAGATAGGAGATTTTGAAACCTTTTGTAAATTTTCTCTAATAACCATACTTCTGTATTTTGTAAACATTCTTGGACTTTAAAAAATAATGATTTTGTGTTATCTTTTAAAAGAAATCAAACCAGAATCAACTCATAGCTGATTCTCCAGCAGAAAGCTGCAAATCACACAGGAACAAATGACCCATCCTTGTCCTAGAGTCACTGGTAGATTTGAACCACCAGAGGCCTGTAGTCTTGGGGTTAGTCATGCAAGTCCCTAAAACTATGGCAACAGTTTAATAATTACATTAAAAGGTTGCAACCTTGTTTCATTAGATATCACTCTGTGTATGCCTTAAATAAAACATTTTAGATCTACGCTTTGAGATGTCTCATTTCTTGGAAAAATCACAGAATACATCATTGTTTATGGTTCTGGAAGTGCAACTTGATTGATTCAGAGCATTCTGAGGGGGTTGATCCTTCAGGACACTAGTCACTCCTGATACAGCCTCAGCCCCTGCCTCAATAGTCCCATCCTCATCCCCGCTTATTATCTACCTTGTATCCCAATGAATTAGAACAAGTGCATTCCTTTGCCATTCTGAGAGCAAAATACTGCAAAACAACATCTTCTTTTTCACATGTCATTGTAGTCTGCCAATCAGAACCCCCACCAAGGCCTTGGCATTCGTTGCTCACCAGATAGTTATTTTTGCTAGTCTAATAAATGCAAAATGTTGGGTAATGAAATAGTTAATAAGTGAGAAGTATATATGTGTGTATTAAATTTTTAATCTAGTTATAATCATCTATTAGTTTCGTGGGTTATTTGTGTGTGTGTGTGTGTATTTAATATTTTACATCTATAAGAGAGACTTTTATAGATCTCATTAACTTCCTGGTTCATCACATCAAGAGCTTTAGTGCTTGTGCCTGACTCAGATATTCTAATATAGGTAGTCTGGTGTAGGACCTGGATATAGAAATTGTTTCAAAATCCCACAACCTAGTTTCCTTGTATCACACTTCAGAAGGTCTGGACTTCCTAATTAAAAAGAAAACAAAATGGGGGGGGGAACCCAACAAACTGAGATAG